GCGGCGGTGTCGGACACCCGACCGTCCCACGTGCAGCCGGCCGTCGTGCTCAGCCTGTCCTGCGCCGTACCCGGCGGCCCGGCCTGCCCTGCTCCGTGCCCGGCCTGCCCGGCCCCGTACCCGGCGGCCCGGCCCCGTACCCGGCTGCCCGGCCCACTGACCTGGTCGGTAGTGAGCGGCGTGTAGCCCGTCATGAGGAAGTGCAGCCGAGGCGTCGGGATCAGCGGCGCGATCAGCCCGATCAGGTCGTTGTTCATGTAGCTTGGGTAGCGCAGCGTGGTCGTGCTCACCGACATGATGGTCGACACGAGCGAGTTGATCTGCGTGAACGTTGGGTTCTGGATGTGCAGCCGGTCGACGGCGATCCGGTTGAGCGCCGTGTTGTCGAGCACGACCACGCAGTCGGCGCTCTGCGTCAGTCGCTTCAGCGTCAGCAGCGAATTGTACGGCTGCACCACCACGTCGCTGATCTCGTCCTGGCTCGGAAACACCGAGTACGTCTGGATCAGCTTCTTCGGGAAGCGGTCGTTGAGCTTCTCCAGGATGAAGGAGCCCATGCCGGAGCCGGTGCCGCCGGCGATCGAGTGGCACAGCACGAAGCCCTCGAGACTGTCGCTGTTGTCCGCCTCGCGGTCGATAATGTCGAACACCTCCTCATAGAGGCGCTCGCCCTGGCTGTAGCCGGAGGCCCAGTTGTTGCCGGCACCGCCGCCGTCCTTCGACAGGTACACGTTCTCCGGGTTGTACAGCTTGGCGTACGGCGACGACATGATACTGTGGATGACGCGCGGCTCCAGGTCGAGCAGCACAGAGCGCGGAATGTAGTGCTCGTCGTCGGCCTGGTAGAAGAATACGTCCTTGCGGTCCTGGCCGTCGGCGGCGAACTCCTCCAGCACGCCGTCCGGACTGATGCCGTGCTCGGCGCACAGCTTCTTCCAGAACTCGAAGCCGATCTGGTTGCCGCACTGGCCCAGCTGCAGGGTGATCACCTCGCATGGCATGGCTGCGCCAGGGGGCGGCCGTCCACCGCACGCAAGGTCCGCCCACGCCTGGCTGCAGTCCAGTCACGCTGCGCTCCGCCTGGCCGCGGTCCGGTCACGCTGCGCTCCGCCTGGCCGCGGTCCGGTCACGCTGCGCTCCGCCTGGTCGCGCCCCGCCTCGCCGCGGTCCGGTCACGCTGCGCTCCGCCTGGCCGTGGTCCGGTCACGCTGCGCTCAGCCTGCCCGCAGTCCGGTCCGGCGCTGCGTTTTCAAGGCTGACCTCTAGAAACGAGCCAGGTAGGGTCATGCTCATAAAGTGACAACAGATGGCAGTGAATCAATTCACCATCCTAGTATTCATGGTGGGCCCATCATCCTAGTGAATGGTTCCAACATCATCTATTTGCTTCCTGTGTGTTCAGATTTTCACATTGGGCATCCAAGTGAATAAGTGTTATCAGCCAACAGTTCTAATACATGTAAAATATGCCAGCAATTTCCTGTTTAGGGAGCTACAGCATCCTTTCTGTTACACTGCTGGACATCAAAGATGCATGCACACAGAATATCAGATGTTTATCTTGATGCTAGCTTGCATTCCACAAAAAAGCACAATTTGTAGAAGTCCAAGCTACCATGCAATAATGACTGAGCTACATTCATTTGCCAAGAACATAAAATATTTAGGTGCTATTATGACTCCATACCATGACAGCATGGAGGGAGTGGTAAGAAAATTCCACAGATGTCAAACTTACATCACTGCTGGTATTAAAAGTGCCACCAAATTCATACTTTAACATCAAGTATTTTACTTTAGCATCTTAATTACACCAGTTTTTCAGAAGTATTGGCATGGTCTTGCAAAAGCAGCAGGACATGGTTAATGCAAATTGGCACACACTAAACTCAGCCCACTCCAGTATGCAGAGCGTAACATAGTTTGACTCCATATTGTTGGGATGGGGCTGAGGAGAGAAATGGTACTTTTGGATGGTTTTGGACATGTTTTACACCTGTACATTCTATGGCAGGACATCCTGAATTTGGGTATCTCACATTACTTTCGGGGAGCCCATCACAATAGTGGCGAGTATTGGGCCAGGGTAGAGATCAAGTGAAACCAGAAAATGCACTAGTGTGTAAAATCAATGATAGGTAATCCAAAATAGCAGGGGCAGCCTAGAGAGGAAATGTGGCACATTCATCTTAACTGTGTCATAATTGTCCTTATCACTGTCATATTATTCTGTCCAGCCCTGGATGCTAATGCTTGCCCAACACCCCTGTGGTGAGAGAACTGTTAAATTGAAGTGCTTGGACACAGACTTGCACAAGCAAAAAAAAAAAGCTGTGTTTGCCAGTGTTTGTGTGGCTGGTCAGGGTATACATTCCTACCTCATGTTACGAACGAGCATTGTACATCAATCATCGTTTCTAAGGCAGAACATCTCGTAATTAATCGTAAAACAGGTCATCTAAGCTCTTACCTTGGAACTTAAATAACTACGATAGCGAACACCCGAGCGCAAACACGCAGCAACCACGACCCCGGCGCCATTTCTACTCGTGATCACAACATTACTGCGTGATCACAACATTACTGCGCATCAAGAACCATAAAAATGTATGAGACCAAGGTAACAAGAATTCAATAAGATGTGTTTCTTACACATCCAAGCCACTGACCTATGACTTGTATAGGTCAATGATCCAAGCAGTCTTCCATATTGTTTGTAGATTGATCAACATGGTGGGGAAATATGACGTTTTTGCGTGGGAATGAAAAGCAAAATGAGAATATGACGGCTAAACAAAACTTCTCAATACGGTACATATATATGGCGTGGAACATGGATGCCAATGGGACTCTGGGTTGAAGGGGATAGGGTGGGGGTTAGGTTAGGTTAGGTTAGGTTAGGTTAGGTTAGGTTAGGTTAGGTTAGGTTAGGTTAGGTTAGGCTAGGTTAGGTTAGGTTAGGTTAGGCTAGTTTAGGTCAGGTTGTCAGGCTAGGCTAGGTTAGGTTAGGTTAGGTTAGGTTAGGTTAGGTTAGGTTAGGTTAGGTTAGGTTAGGTTAGGTTACGTTAGGTTAGGTTAGGTTAGGTTAGGTTAGGTTATGTCAGGCTAGGCTAGGCTAGTTTAGTTTAGGCTATGTTCTGGACTATTCTGTCCTGTCCGTTTCATAAACGTACCTAGATGTGATAAGAAATGTTTTTCATTGCATTATTATTGTTACCTTGGCCCCATAAATTTGTATGGTTCTTGATAAGCGGAGATATTGTAATTACGCAACAGCAACACAGAAACGGCGCTGGGAAGTCAAGGTGGTGGGGTGCGTGCAGCGCTCCGGAGCTCGCTATCGTAAATAATAAAATTTGAAGGTAGAAGCATGAATCTACCCATTTCAAGATTATTTACGATATGTTCTGCCTTCAACACGACAAATGGTGTACCATGATTTTTTCCAATGTTAAGTAGGAATGTATACCTACACTGTGTGGCTACTGTGAAGCAGTGAAAATTGATTGTTTCCATTGTGAAATGCTTAATACATTTCCAAATCCTGTTAAGTTGATATGCAAAATTTGGTATGGGGAAGTCAGGATGATTGCTAACCATTTTGAGCAGAGCAAAGGGGTTGCTTAGTAGCTGGTAGTTAGCACAGTAGCTTAGTACAAAGCACAAATTAGATCATGACAAATATTTTCAGGACTAACCCCATCCCCAGCCCATAGTCAAATCATTGGCCCCTGCCAAAATAACTTGGCTGCCTCATTCATGGTAGGATAAGGCCTGCCCTGTTGACTGGTATGGCATCTTTTGCAGGCCACAGCCCACTGATGTCAAACAAGGCTGTTTATAGGACAACATTTAAAGCAATAAAACCTGTCTACTTGTGAATTTCCATCTTTCTGTTAACACTTTTCCCCCAAAACATGGGTAATGTTGTTTGAAATGCTCACGATAACAACAACAATCTGCAGGTGTCATATAACCCACTCGCATCTAAAATTCACAGCATTTGGCGGCAATGACACGTGGACCTTAGTCTAAATGTTACATTGAAACCGAAACGGATACGCAGACATGTACGCATGATCCCATAACGATCCGAATTATTAAGTCTCACGATTCACACAATTACGTGAATTAACGCGCCAGTACCTCAGATGACAGCGACCTCCAGTCCGCCCCGTTCACTTCCCGCTCGAAGGAATATGACTGTTGTGGCGCAGCAAAATAACAGGAGAGCATGAGGCTTATTTTTCCTATAGAATGACGTCATACAATACAAACTTTGCTTGCTAAGTCTAACAATAGCGATATTTAAAAAAATGTGTGTAAAAAATTGCTTTTAAATAACATTAAATGTAATAAACCTCTAAACATTCCTTTTCATTATTATTTAATTTGAAACGTCATTTATTTTGCCAGTTTTTACGCGATACACCATTACAGTAAACACTTCCTTGAAGACGTGCCACTTTTGCCTACGTTGCAAAATTGCGAAGCAACAGCGGTCAAAGTACAGTTCATGACCTGTGTGGGGCGCGGGCTGCGGGCGTTTGGGCGTTTTGCATTTTATTCGTATCGGTGCGTTAGCTTGGCTCCCCTTGAGGAGGGGCTTCGGATGTAAATGATTCAGACGAAAGTCTGATTGCAATCAAGAAAACATTGGACTTTCGGTCTGCTGCGTCAAACTTAAGTTTTTTGTATCGAGTGGTATACCATGAAGGTAGTGTCGAATGTGAAACTTCTAAGGTGAATAAGACGAAGTTAAGGTAAATTTGATCCGAGGAGACTGATTTTTACTCAGAAAATTGTGGCAAATTGTGCACCCGCTTTTGCAAGATGGCTGTGAGCGCAGATGCATCTGGCACAAACAAGACTTGGGAATTGTCGCTTTATGAGCTTCACAGGACACCACAAGAGCCAGTCATTGACAATACTGTTATTGCAGTATCCCCTCGCAGCTTGCACAGTGAGCTGATGTGTCCCATATGCTTGGACATGCTGAAAAATACCATGACCACAAAGGAGTGCTTGCATCGGTTCTGCAATGAATGCATCATTACTGCCCTCCGGTCTGGCAATAAAGAATGTCCAACTTGTCGGAAAAAGCTGGTGTCTAAGAGATCTCTGCGACCAGATCCCAATTTTGACAATTTGATTGCCAAGATTTACCCAAGTCGCGATGAGTATGAAGCTCATCAGGAGCGTGTCCTGGCAAAGTTGAACAAGAGTCATAGCCAGGCTGCCCTTGTCAGTTCAATTGAAGAGGGCATCAAGATTCAGGCACAGAATAGGCAAAACAGGAAGAAAGCTGTTGCAGATGATTCCAGCAATCCAGGAAGTCAAGCACCACCCACACCAGTGGAAGCTGCTCCCCAGGGTAAGTCTTGGTTGAATTCCACTGAGATATCATGCCAAAGTTTTGTGAATGTGTTGATGTCAAGTGACCTCAGAAGTTTTATAAATTTAAGTACCAATCATTACCAGCAGCACATGAGTTCAGGTATCTTGTTGAACCTGTTGTGTGACACTTACACATGTTATGCATAGTTCTGTGATATAGATAAGCTCCTGTAACCAAATAGGTAAAATTTATGTAGTAACCAGCATACAGGAATACAGTTAAGCATATTGTAGGTTAAATGTAAGTTGCTCCTCAGCAGAATTGAAGGCAGCCACATGAAACAGTCTGCCAGCCAATCTTGATCCATTAGAACTGACTGGCAGAAACCACTGGTGGCAAAAAAAGCCAAAATGCAAGCACTGCATCAGCTTGATAATGCAAATGTATAAGACAGGTGTAATGTTGCTAGTATGAGTATGGTGCCTCACCTAGAATCCTGAAATATAAATAGCAGATGGCATCCCTTTGTCACAAGAGTTTCTCTTTACGCTTACAGTTTTTCCAAGTTGTACCTTAGTTCATCACACGCAGGACACAAATGTCACCAGGTGGTTGTTCCATGATTGCAATGTTTGCTGATCTGAAAACCAATGAAACTGTAAGCCTTGTTTAATGCTTAGTCCTAAAAAGGCATCTAAAGGACAAGCATGTTTCCATCAATTAAGTTAGAGAAATCAAGAGAGAACAAATTAAAGTATTTTGAAGAGCCTGCTAGTGAGCCAGCACTCCAAATGTAGCCAGTTGGGCATACAATATAACAATAAGCTCATGGCAGCAGTCTCCCGGTTCTATGGCAGTCTGAGCACATGTTGTTGGTTGCATGTCTGCTGCCCTATTTATTACCCTGAATCTTGACACCTGGCCTGCTTATCAATTTGCTCTTCACCCTCATGCTGTGTGGGCTGACACCCAACTTGATCAGGGCTCAGTTGTAGGAGGAATGGAGGGGAATGTATTCCCCTAGTTCCCAGAGAGGCAGTTTTTTTGGATGAATGGGAATGCTATGGAGAATGCTTTCTTCCAATAAAGCCCACACAGAAATCAAGAGGAAACCTGCAGGGTCAGACTTTGCCCAAAAATTAGTTGCCAAGACACAACAGTTTGCACAGCAAGTAGCTTACAACATGGCTTTTATGCAGCAAGTAGTTAAATTTGGAGTAGTGTAGGCCTATCTCATTATACTACTCCTCATTCTGTGGCCAACGTTTGTCACTCCTCATTCTGGTGCCAATATTCATCATCCTTCTCATTTGTCCCCATGATAGTGGATCACATATAATGTGTACAATACCATTGTGTGGCTGGCTGATTCGCCTTGTTGTCAGCTGTTCATTGAATGTGATGTTTAAAGTGCAACACTAGGAAAGTGAGCTGACATTGGCAGGGATGTTTGAGTTGATGGATTATTGCCTATTTTCCAATGCACCTGTTTTGGTGTCAGGTTTAAATGCAATCAAGCTAATATTGAGGAACCTACCTTCATGTTTACTAGACTGCAGTCCTCTTTGCTAAGCTTGCATGAGTTCAGGTTCATCACACAAGTGTGCAGCCTATTTCTGATCACTTAGTCAGTTAATAATGGTCTGCCCATCTTGCCCAGTAGTTGTATGTAAAGGATGGTACTGAGGAAAACATAGTTATTCAAAAGGATGCTTTTTCTTTTGAAGGTTTCAGTCCCTGTTTCGATGGAAAGACTACGTAGGTATTCTTCAACACCTGGTAAATGCGAAGAATTAAGCTCACTGGATGCCCCTGATCAGGCTGGGTGAGGTGTGCTCACTCAATTCAACAGAACATCCCCTCGCATTTCTTAAGAGTCTTTCGAGTCACTTTGCAACTCACTCACAGATGAGGATTCCATCCACGCTGCGATGTGCTGGTGGCGTGCTAACGTGCCACCACAGGCTTTGAGCCATCCAAGGTCATGCGTTATGATGTAAGATATGGACAAAGGTTGATGTATATCCTGATTGCCACTATTTTCTATGTTCACCAGAACCTGTAATTTCCATTGGAAACCTTAATATTGCCACACTGCAATGAGGAAGTGACCTATCAGTGGCAGCCTAATCACAGACAAAGCACTTTGATTATGTTCCCATGACAGTCAATGTTTTCCACCAATGCAACATCAGCATATGTTATTTGGACTGACTGTGTCAGATGTCATAATTAAAGATATGTACTGTAATTGCATGATGGCAAAGAAAACTAAGGCAAGAGGGATAACAATTCACGCTGTAAATGCATGGTCACGGAACCAACATAAAGCCGAAAAGTGGCATGCAAGTCGCGTGACGTGGTGGGTCTAGTTTCAGAAAGCAGGATTACATATCACAACCAGAGCAATGTTGCCAGTAGTAAGAAGAAAATGCAGCATTATTTTGTGTTCTGTCTTCCTTCCAGTTGTAAAATATCACCTTCACCTGATCATGCTCCTATATACAACTCATTGCATCCAGTTGTGTTCATGCAGTTGTTCTTCATTGTCATCTCTAAATTTCCACCAGTGCTGGTTTTGTGCTGTGTTGTGCTGATTGAACTAGGAAAAGAAAAACATCGATTATGACAGCCGGTGGTAGGAATGGTCATGAGCCGTCTGAAATTTTTTAACCATGTTCCTTGACAAATGGTGCTCCGCTTGTCGGGCAGGCGGCGCTGCCGAGCCTGCTGCCGAGCAGCCGGCGCCGGCTGCCGCCCCGGTGCCGAGCGCGCCGCCACCCGCCAAGCGCGCCAAGCTGACCTCGGAGAACGAGTCGTCCGGCCTGGAGGCACCCTCGACCAGCAACGACGGCGAGGCGGTCGACGAGCCGGCCGTGCCGGAAATCGAGCTGGTGAGTGGACCCCGGGCCAGTCTGGTGCTCATGGCGAGAGGGACACAGGCGCCTGGTGTGGCATTGTGAGGCTTTGAGCTGAGGAAGTTTCCACTATTGCTTTCCGTCGTCCCCGCGGCGTGGCTTGTTTCGAATGGGAGCCGACAACGGGGGCGATCTGCATGTATGGACTCGGTGTGCCTAAACGTGGACGCGTGGGCGCGTGACCAGCCTCGTAGCCGCGCCGGCGTGCACGTGCCGAGGACAGCTGGTCATCTCGACCGACCCGAGCCCATGGTCTCGCACGGGACTCGTGATCTCGTACGGAATCCGTGATCCCCCGCACGGAGCCCGTGATTTCCCGTATGGAGTCTGTGATCTCCCGCGCGGAGTTCGTGATCTTCCTTACGGAGACCGTAACCTTCCGTACGGAGCCCGTGACCTTCCTTACGGAGCCCGTGACCTTCCTTACGGAGCCCGTGACCTTCCTTACGGAGCCCGTGACCTTCCATACGGAGCCCGTGACCTTCCTTACGGAGCCCGTAACCTTCCATACGGAGCCCGTAACCTTCCGTACGGAGCCCGTAGCCTTCCTGACGGAGCCCGTGACCTTCCATACGGAGCCCGTGACCTTCCATACGGAGCCCATGACCTTCCTTACGGAGCCCGTAACCTTCCATACGGAGCCCGTGACCTTCCATACGGAGCCCGTGACCTTCCATACGGAGCCCGTGACCTTCCTTACGGAGCCCGTAACCTTCCATACGGAGCCCGTGACCTTCCATACGGAGCCCGTGACCTTCCTTACGGAGCCCGTGATCTTCCATACGGAGCCCGTGACCTTCCTTACGGAGCACGTGACCTTCCATACGGAGCCCGTAACCTTCCTGACGGAGCCTGGCCGCCGACGCCTGTCCGCCGCCGGCAGGTTTTCAAGCCGCATCCGGTGGAGATGGCCGGCGACGTGGCCCTGCTGCGCGACCTCAAGGAGAATGCCGTCCGCTACCTCAAGACCACGGCCAACGCCACAGGTTGGTGACGGCCTCGCCCGTGCTGGCCGGCTTACCAGCGCAGCGCAGTGCCGGGGCAGGCCGACCGACCTCTGGATCGTTAGTGACTTAAAGCGCCTGTTCGATATCAGACCATGGCTTTGGTTGTAGAGCGTACCGGCTGCGTTGGTCATATGGCGCCCATTAAGGGGATGCCAGCTTCAAACCACTATGTGTGAGCCGTCCAAGCACCGGTTCATTTCTCAGCCAGCAGTGAGTTCGAGCGCGACATGGCCCCGGTTGCCGATACGTTCGTAAAACCTCCAAACATGATCACCGCGGGCTCAGTCCCGTCCAGCAATACCCGTGCAGCGCTCAGCTCCGCTCTTTGTCCCATGGGTCGTTCAGTTTAGCTGCCATTCAGTATCTAGTACGAAACCGCACCGCATCCTACGCATCGTATTTAGGGTCATCGGCGTTACATAAACTAGAAGTAGGTGCAGCCCATATGGCCCCAGTGTTGGTCCTTGTGGCCGAAGCCGCAGTCACTGACGGTTGACGCCGTCCGTGTGTGTCCGTTGCAGTGGACCACCTGACCAAGTACCTAATGATGCGGCTGCCGCTGGACCTGGAGTCGCCGCTGGCCGGCAACCTGACCAACTTCAGCATCCAGGTGTCGCCTGCGGCCGGCCAGTACGTCACGCTGCCGGGCGATCTGACTCTGGACCAGGTCAGCGAGCGGCACTGGCGCGTCGGCCGGCCGCTCGAGCTCGTCTACGCCTGGAAGAAGTGAGCAGCGCGACCGGCCTTTGGAGCTGGAGCCGGCCTCGGGAGCTGGCGCGTCCGCCGGCCATCGGAGCTGGAGCCGGCTTCGGGAGCTGGCGTGTCCGCCGGCCACTGGAGCTGGAGCCGGCCTCGGGAGCTGGCGCCTCCGCCGGCCACTGGAGCTGGAGCCGGCCTCGAGAGCTCGTCTGCGCCTGAAAGAAGTGAGCGGCGCGGCCGCGGCAACGCTCCTCCCCGACTCGCCTCTTTTGGGTGAAATGAACCCTTTCTCTTGCTCGGACTCGTCCTCCGGGAGTGGGCCGGACAGCTGCTGTCGCTGGCGGCTGGCAGTCTCTGTCTGCCGGGGAGGAGCGGGCCGAACGGCCAGACTCCTGGGACAAGCGGAGCTCGTCTCTCAGGGGGCCTGACCGGACGAGCTCGGCCCAGCCTCTGGCGCCAGGCGGACGTGCCCCAGCCCGGCCGTGGCGGGCCCTCCCAGAGCGTCGCTGTCCCGGCTGGCGTCCACAGTCGCTCCGTGGGCCGCCGGCGACAGCGCGGACGCGACACCGCTACGGCTGCGTGCCGGTGTCCAGGCCTTTTCTCGCGAACGGTCCGCGGTGGCCGCCTGTTCTGTGCTCGACCGCAGGGCGCACGCCGTCCCGCCGATTATCGTTGTCCGTCGTGTGCTCGACTGTATTGTGTGAGTTGTGTGGGCCTGACTGTATTGTCGGACGCTCGGCGGCCTTCGTCAGCTTGACGGGCCCTGGGCGACTGTCGGCGGCGTCCTGCCCGCAGCTTCCGGGTGAGAGTGTGTGTGTGTACCGGGGGCGGCTCTTGAAGTGGGGAGTGGGGGGGGGGGGGGGGGGCAGGTGGCCGGCGCCCCGCGCCCCGCCTGAGGCAGGGTGGTCACGTGGGGACCCCACCGTCCCACACCGTGAGGCGGCTGCTGTCCGCTTGTTTGTGGTGGTACAAAGGGACAGCCGTGTGGTATTCAGCTCCCCTGACCTGTGCATTCTGTTGACGTCGTCCGCCGTGTGTGACAGCTCGCTCGATACGCCCCAGGCTACAAATACGGCGCCGCTGAGTATAAATATATTTCGCTATGATACATTTACCATACTTGCAGCATTGTAGTGAGGGGTCGCATTTTCGGCGTCGCCGAATAAATAATCATAAATTACCGGCGATGCGTCATCCTCTACTGATTGCACCAAGGAATGCCCCTTCCTGCACACGAACAACGCACCTCGCGGAAGAAAACGTAACAAAACCAAACCTTGCCGAGCCGTTCAGGAATGCATGCCCCAGGAGAAAACAACCGCACTGGCCGATCCAACAGCGCTTATCACGAGCTCGCGGGGGCGCCGGGTCGACGCCACATCCCTACCCGGAGCGCGGTCGGCGACGGCTCCGCGGCAGCGCTGCCATCCTGCGGCGCCGTCGCACATCGAAAGCCCGGGGTTCTGCGGCGCGTCCGAGGGAATCCGCCTCCTGGAGACGAGACGCGTGGGCTAGCGCGGCCGGCGGTCCGTCAGTCCCGGCCGGCGAGCCGCCGCCGGCCTGGCGACGCGCTGGTGCCCCGGCTCTCCCCGCTCGGGGGTGGAGACGAGGCGTGGCGACGGAGGACCTCTGACGGTCGGTGCCGGTATGGCCGCGTTGGCTTACGGTAAGGCACCGCGTGAGGAAACGGAATGCTCTGCTATCCGTCGACCCGGTCATCCCTGTCACGGACGACCGGCACACGCTTCCCAACCCCGTCGAATGCCAACTATGACGTACAAGTCACGGATTGGGTGCTAAAAAACTTCGTACAACCAATGCCCCGAAACGACTTAACTCTGAGTAAAGGCGTTTCGACCACAACGCGCATATTAATCTGGTGGAAGTTACCCATGAAATGTCATTTACTTCCTCCCAGGTGTGGCTTGCGCAATACGCATGTCGGAGGGCTTACACGTCTACAACCTCTCACAACCTCTTGAAATCCTTCCCTCATCTCACACACGGCTTCGGACGCGTTCAACACAGACCCATTCACCCGGCGGGATGGGTAGAGCCGAGGCCCCTTCTAAAGTCATTGTGCATCGTCTGGCTGCCTGTTGGCTGAGGCCCCGGAGTCGCCGGCCGGGCGCCGCCGCCGCCGCCGCCCGGCACTCTCCGGTCGCTGAGCTGCGCGTGGCTGAGGCCAGTCATCCACCTGGAGAGTCCGGCGACCGGCCGTCCACACGCCGTCCAGACCAGCGGCGCGGCCGAGGCCAGCTGCCGTCAACCCGGCCAGCGCTGGGACGGCTGAGGTCCACTTGTCCAGCGCTGGGATGTCTAGGGTCTACTTGGTCAGCGCTGGGACGCCTGGAGTTCACCTGGCCAGTGCTGGCACAGCTGGGGTCCACCTGGCCAGCGCTGGGCCGGCTGGGGGTCCACCAGCTGCCAGCTGGGACCAGCGGAGCAGCCGTGCGGAGGCGGCGCCGCTGGCCGCCGCTAGCAGCCGGACCAGTGGCCCAGCACCCACGCGGCCAGACCAGCCACGCTGGGCCAGCTTCAGGAGCGCTTGGTCAGCTGGTCGATCTGCTGTTTGTACATCTCCTTGACGTCGGCCAGGTCCAGCTTGAGCTCCTCGCTTTCCTCCGCCTTCTCGCCATACATCTGCCGGGGGCGGCGGGCACTAGCGCTCAGCGCACGGCCGCTGGGATGGGGAATGGGACGAACGGGCCTGAACACAAATGACCACAAAACTTGGCAAGAAGCGCAGGTTGCTAACGACTCAGAGCTTTCAGGCAGGCACGTCTTTTGGAAAAACATGAAAACGCAATGTCTGATGCGATCAATGACCCGTCCGAACTGACGCTTTCAATAAAATAAATAAATGCCAACGTCTTTTTGGCCACCGGATGTCAATCGATGCATGCTTTGTATAACTGCAAAGGTATTTGTTTACATTCGGAAGGGTCAATTACGGCTGATGAGCTTTTGTCACGACATACTAGCAGAAACAAGACGAAATCGCAACGTGCTGGAGCCCCCCCCCCCCCCCCCTCCACTAACATAAACACAATAGACCGACAATGACAACTGAAACGGGCCTACGGCGCACGCTAACATTCGCAGCGAAAATCATTTATACCGCCACAAGACCCAATAAGCCCGAGCCGCGTCGGTGCGGCAGTGCTGCCACTCCAGCTGGCTGGCGCCGGCCAGCTGTCGCCCCCACCTGCAGCAGGGCGTTATAGGTGGACTCGAGCTGCTGGAAACGCTCGGTGAGCGGCTCCAGCTGCTGGGCGGCCGCCTGCGCCGTCTCCAGCTGGCCGGAGAGCCGCGCCAGCTCGCCGCTCAGCTGCTGCCGGGCCGTATCCTGGTCCGAGCGCTCGGCGCGCAGCTGGTTCAGCTCACCTGCCGCGCGCGAGCCGTGGACACGGAGTCAGAGTCTGAGTCAGGGCCCGAGATGAATCCGAACACTCCCGGTACGGTTCAGCGCGTTCACCAAGTACAGTCAGGGCCTCTCGAAGTCAGAGGCAGGGTCAGTTCTGAGTCGTAGATAGATTGGAACCGCCGGCGCGTCGCCAGCTCAGCCTCCCCCCCCCTCATCGGCTGACAGAGTCGGACCCAGCCAGCCCCGAGTGGGGGCGTGCGGGCCAGGCTCATCGCTGGACTCAGCCTTGCACTGCTGTGAGCACAGCCAACCTCCACAGACAGGCTAACAGGGCTCTCCACGACGCTGGCCACACCAACCGCAGACCGGACCATGCGCGAAGTTGGCACCATCAGATACTGCACCGCAGATCGCGCCGGCGAAGCGGCACAGCATCTGCCGTCCGCTCCCTCCCAGGCGTCATTAGTTCGACGCCACCAACGTAGCTCTAAAGATACGCCCGTACGCCTCGCCCGCTCACTACACGGCATGACGTCACGCACGAGCTTCGTTTACGGCGGCATCTAGAGCGGAGGTACCGGAATGACCGGTACGCGCAACCAACAGCAACACCACGCCTCAAACGGAAGGCTACATCAGCAAGGCAACAGGCTGGCAGACGTCATCTAATACTGGGGTCGGCCTGCCCGCTGATTTCCTGGCAGCAACAATATCGGTTGATGACATACAAATCATCTGAGGCGGCCGCTATCCAGCGCTCCCCGGCCAGCGTGCCACCAGAGGCCGTGCCGGCTGGACGCTCCGTCTCACCTTCCTTCTGCTTGAGCTGCGCGGAGAGCGACTCGACGACGGTGGCGGCACCCTGGCCAGCGCGCACCGTCTCGTACAGGCTGGTGGCGCGCGGTGTGGCCGGCTCCAGCAGGCCGTCCTGCCGGCGTCGGCGGTGCCGCTCAGGCCCCGCCGGCCACGAGGCGGGCGCTCGCTGGTCACCAGGGCGAGGTGGGGTGGACGCGGAGGTTCCGGCTCGCTACCAGAGTACACCGCGCACCCCAGGACGGGCTCGCTGCCAGTGTAATCCCCGGACCCCAGGACGGGATCGCTGCCAGTGTACTCCCCTGACCCCAGGACGGGATCGCTGCCAGTGTACTCCCCTGACCCCAGGACGGGATCGCTGCCAGTGTACTCCCCCGCACCCCAGGACGGGCCCGCTGCCAGTGTACTCCCCTGACCCCAGGACAGGCTCGCTGCCAGTGTACTCCCCCGCACCCCAGGACAGGCTCGCTGCCAGTGTACACCCCTGACCCCAGGACGGGATCGCTGCCAGTGTACTACCCCCGCACCCCAGGACGGGCTCGCTGCCAGTGTACTCCCCTGACCCCAGGACAGGCTCGCTGCCAGTGTACTCCCCCGCACCCCAGGACAGGCTCGCTGCCAGTGTAATCCCCCGCACCCCAGGACGGGCTCGCTGCCAGTGTACTCCCCCGCACCCCAGGACAGGCTCCCTGCCAGTGTACTCCCCTGACCCCAGGACGGGCTCGCTGCCAGTGTAATCCCCAGCACCCCAAGACGGGCTCCCTGCCAGTGTAATCCCCCGACCCCAGGACGGGCTCGCTGCCAGTGTAATCCCCAGCACCCAGGACGAGCTCGCTGCCAGTGTAATCCCCAGCACCCCAGGACGGGCTCCCTGCCAGTGTATTCCCCAGCACCCCACGACTATGACGATGCATGAAGACGTGGACGCGGCCGTCGCTCCCTGTGAACTCTCCCACATACAGAAGGTGTGTGCGGATTGTGTGGGAAACGAGACGCGCTCGCGATCAGGGACAAGGCGCGTCTGGTTCGGGCAGGGGTGAGGCGGATGAGAAGTGACCACCAATGCATGCATCACTACCTCGCTCCTTCTTCTCTTCAGACACCCCGGACGGAAGAAATTCCACAGACACATCGACAAAACACGCCTCAAGGACTGCACGGAAAATGTAGGCAGACCAACAGACGCGAACTACTGTACGAACAAGACGACATTTTACATGACATTTCATCCGGTGCAAATTTCGCGATACTTCGCACGCTGCGAGCAGCAACCTCCGTGCGGCGTCGGCGCAGTGCAGCGGCGCGCGCGGCCAGGGCGAGCCGGCCGTCCACTCACCGAGGTGCCGGCCTGCCGGGCCGCCTGCCGCACAGCCGCCAGACGGGACGGGCGCGGGGGACAGGGCAGCCGTTAGTACCAGCCGAGCCACCGGCCAGGCGGGCGGCCGACACACCACTGAGAGTGTGACAGCCAGCCGACACGGGGCATGGCACGAGCTTCTCCTGCGCTGGGTTAGTACAGCTCCACACAGCGGGGCGCCAGGCGGCACTGCGCGTGCACGAGGGGCGGGCGCTCTACATCAGTTAGCTGAAATCCCGACAGGGATACGTCTGATGCCATATCGGGCGGATACTGAGCAAACCAAAAGCAGTGTCATGCCGGCCATGCTTCGAAAGAAATAGTTAAACTGATGCATAGCAAAACGGCGTCTTCACAGCCGCCTTACAACAAACCACAGCAAACATGCTACATACAAAGCCAAGCATTGTATCCAACCAAAAAAGTTGCAATGCTTGTAATACACGCAGATGCTGCATGCATATAAAGGGTTGACCACATCCCGGTACTCCCCTATATTAAACGAAGTAGTCAAACTGAATGGTTTGAAATACCAGGCCCAGCCCGGCGCTCTTTCTCTCCCGAGCCGAACGCCTCTGGGATCTAAGTCACATCTGCATGACCAATCACCTGACCCTACACTGTAGCTAAATGCAGGGAGTGAGACGGAACTACGCAATACCGAACCAGACCATGAAGCACATCCATCTATCTAACCAAACGGCGGGAGCCACATGCGTAGTCCACCAATCTATTTACACCCACCAGCACCCCGGCATCACAGCAAGACAGGCAGCGCGCGGCGCAGTCAGCTGGCTGCGAGTCGCGCCCGGCCGGCGGGGCGGCGCCGGCCCGCTCACCAGTTCGTGGAAAGAGCTGGAGAAGGAGATGCGCGCCAGGCTGGGCGTGGGCGAGGTGCGCGGCGTGCTGAGCTGGCTGGCCGTCGAGTCCACCGCCGACTGCGAGTGGGAGAGCTGGCGACCCCGCTCGCGGGCCTGCCCAGGACGAAGGGGTCAGAGGTCACAGAGGGTCAAACGGGCAAACAGCCGACTGCGAGTGGGATAGCTGGCGACCCCGCTCGCGGGCCTGCCCGGGACGAGGGGAGTCAGAGGTCACAGAGGGTCAAACGGGCATACGGCCGACTGCGAGTGGGATAGCTGGCGACCCCGCCCGCGGGCCTGCCCGGGACGAGGGGGAGTCAGAGGTCACAGAGGGTCAAACGGGTCCACCCTGCGAGTGAGAGATATGGCGACCCCGCTCGAGGGCTTGTTCGGGACGAGAGGAGTCAGCGGTCACTGACCGACTAAGCCTTGACTGCAGAGGTCAAGAGTTAAAGGGGCACACGGCTGACTGCCAGCAAGAGGTACGGCGACCTCGTTCAAGAGCCTACCCGGGAACGGGGAGGAGTCAAAGGAATCAGATGCGGTCAGATAAAGTCAGATGGAGCCAGAAGGATTCAGAGGGAGTCGGGGGAGGAGAGTCGGAGAGGATCAGAGAGGACCGACAGCCAACTGCGCGTGGGAGAGCTGGCGACCCTGCTAACGGGCTTGTCCGAAGACAAG